ATTGCACGCAGACAAACTTTATTACACACACACACAAACTTTATTGCACGCAGACAAACTTTATTACACTCACACAAACTTTATTACGCGCAGACAAACTTTATTACACTCACACAAACTTAATTGGTCTATTTTCTCTCCATAAAAACATGATCACCTGTTTATTTTCTGTTTTGTTTTTTGGTTCAGAATCAAGCTCCTGTCACAAACCTCAGGATATCCTCCAAAAAAGTAAGCAGCTTTTTTAATTTCGTCTCCATTTCTGCTGTTTAAAGCATAATTTGTTGCTGTATAATAAGATGGGGAGAAAACGCTCTCGTTTTGGTTTTCGCAGCAACAGCTGTACGTCAGCTCCGAGTTTGGGGTCTCGCAGGTCTCCCTGCACCGCTGCCACGCCTACGGCTCGGCCTGCGCTGACTGCTGCCTCGCCAGAGACCCCTACTGCGCCTGGGACGGACTGAGCTGCTCGCGCTTCTATCCATCTGGCAAAAGGTACAGAAAGGGTTCCAGATCTAGAGCTGCAGTTTCATACCATTTTACATCACTGTTACTGAAAATTAGTGTTTTTGTTTGCACTGTTAGCAAAATATCTCTTGAACCACTTGATAATTTCTATTGAAACTCAAAGCATGTAATTATTGGATGTACATCTACAACTGAATAACTTTTGAAGCCAGCCACATTCAACATGGGCGCAACAGCTAAAAAAAATCAAAATCAAAAATGACTAGACTTCGGCTGATATTACAAACATTAAGGTAAAATTTGGTTTGGTAGTAGCTGAGAGTTACAACACATAAAAGCACTGCCAAAAGCTATTAGTCAACTCCATGTGTCTGTTAGCAAAATATCTCATGAATCACTTAGCATATTTTAATGAAAATTTCCGGAAGTAATTACTGGATATACATCTACAACTGACTTGCTTTTGGAGATAACAACTTTCAAGATRGCTGCCACAGCTAAGCAACCATGACAAATGCAAAAATTGCCGCAACTCAGCAAATGTTGCTGACACCGAGCAAACGTTTTGTGTGTTAACAACTGATCTTCAGCCCCAACATATAGTCCAAGTGCAACACCTTGCGCAATACATTAGCTTAAAACTTGGCAATAACTGTTTGTTTCAATTCCTTTTTGTCTGTTAGTAAAATTTCTCCAAGAAAAATAAAGGGATTTTCTTGAAACTCTCAGAAAATAATCGCTGGTTGTACGTCTGCAAATGATTACCTTTTGGAGTTGATCCGAGTCAAGATGGYCRTCACAGCTAATTAAAATTAGCCAATRTAAAAAAGGCTATAACTCTGTTCATTTCACAAGAACTGGGGTAAAATTTGGTGTGGTGGTAGCTGAGACTGGTTCACAGCATATAGTACTCTGGGAGCACRTGTCTCACATAATTCGACGATCCCTCATCAAATTCCGCATAAWATTGTTTACCAAATTTGACCAAAACATTAAAATCAATTTTCATTCTATTACAGGCAGTGAATGAGGTTTTTATGCTCTTTTTTCCACTCAATATGCATTGAAACTCCAGTGATTCACCAGTTAAACAATAAAACGTGAATCCGATGAGAGGAGCAGAATGTGGGCAGCAGATGATGAATAATCTTTCAGAGCAGAACAGAAAGCTTGGTCCCACAGATTGGGAGTGCAGCGGGGATCAGATGACTGGGAACCATCAGCGGACGGCTCGAGAGGGAGCCGTGTCACAAATGCTGCTGTCGTTCCCCCCAACCCCCACCCCACCCTCTGCCTGCAGACAGAACACAGACCGAGCAGAACCGAACCATACCTCGCCTCTAAAGCCCTGTTTCTATGAGGACCAGCTGCGGGTATTCTGACAGTTTGGGTCGGGTTTAGTTCTGTCCTGCAAAAGTTTATTWTTTTTTTCATTTTTTATAAATATGTCAGCTGTTTGCAGGCAGTTCTGAATGTGAGCAGATTTTCCTCATGTTGTTTTTGGCAACGCGAGCTTCCTCACGCACTTTTATTCTGAAAGGAGGAAGGATGTTATTGCTGTGTCTTTTTGTGGCCTGTACTGAAATATGTGTTCCTTTTTTCTGCAGGAGAAGCAGAAGGCAGGATATCATGCATGGAAATCCACTCGTTCAGTGTCGAGGATTTAATTTAAAAGGTAATTAATACTTAAAGGAGACGTTCATATATTTTAAAGTGGGCTTTAAAACTTTTGGAGTGTAACTAGCTCAATAATCCTCCAATTCCCAATATCTACACCTCTTTATAAGTGTTTCATTAAAGTCTAAAGTCCAAAGTGTAGCTGCTAAAGATGCTACATGCTACACACACGATGYCTGACAYGTTCAGCCCTGCTTGTAAGAGGTGATATTTTTATTTAATTTAAGATAAATCGCATAAAAATAAAGGATTTGAAGTTGTGAATTTTTTAGTGGACTTAAAATCTGCTAACWGTTTCCAAARTTTGCAAAAAAGCTAAKTCCGCTGTTAGCAGCTTAGCGTAACTGTGCCCACCCCTGCTTTTATTTTTGTTTTGTTTTTTCTAAGTCCCACATCATATTTTAGAATGACGTATATCCACATTCTAGTTGCAACTCTGATTATTATTAGCAAAATAAGCTAATAATTGTGTATTTTTCTGTCTGTATATATTATCTAAAACAGGTAACATAGTTATTGTTTATAACCATAAASCTTAACAGGTACAAGAAATAAAACAAAAATCAGGTGACTACTATTATCAGATACTTCATCTGGGTGGCCTTTAAAGTGTATCTTACCCCACCTGTGAAAAGATAACTCCGCCCCAAGGCGAAATTTGAAAAATGCATCAAAGTGGGTAGGGGAAGGGGGGTTAGAGAGCGGAGGTGTGGCCAGGACGAGAGTACGTGACAGGCAGCTAGCATTAGCATAATTGATGCTACATGGAGAGTGACCACAGTATCACAGAGAGTTACATCTCTGAACGTCTGAGGTGGAGGATTTTCACTCAGACAGCCTGACAGAAAAAAATAAAAGCACGCAGCTTTTCACAAGATCGCTAGTTTAAATCAGGAATAAAAGTGTTGGGTCTTGTTTGACTGACGTTCGGTCCAGTTCGCATAC